GACCTTCGCGGGGCTGGCCATGAGGGACAGGTGTGCTGTGGGGTCTCAGTGGATCCCTTGTCTCTGATTCTGTTTACCGCCGGTCTCTGTTCTTGTTGCACCTCTGGCCCGCGGGGCAGAATGCTACTGCCCGTCAGTCCTGAATGTACTCACTGAGGCTCTTGGCATCAGCAGGGACTGACGTCCTTTCTGACTGGCTCAGTTGAGTCAAAGGTCAGCCCCAGGTTAGTCAGCTGTGGCTGTATGACGTTAATGTTTGCCATAGGCTGTTTGCCTCGGTTCACAGTCATATTGGAGATGTCAGTCTAGACTAGGACCAGTCCCTTCTGTCTCTGAAATTCTGTTCCACTTAAAACCTATTGTCACACCGTGGTCCTCTGGGCTTCTCACCATCCGTGTCTTGATCACCTTTCCGACGTCGTCCCTGTCAGTCTCCCCTGTGCTCACTTTGTCATCTGACCTTCTTGTGGGTCCTCAACTAGTACGAGCTCATCTTACCTCAGGGCATTTGCACTTGCACTCATGGGGCTTCCTGTGGCTTTCACACACTTCATTCCAGTCTCTTCCGCAGAGAGGCTAAACCTGTGGGTCAAATCCACCTCACCTGCCTTCATAATCAAGATCGCTTTAATCGTTGCTACAGAAGACTTGAATGTTCTCCAAGTGGCTCGTAGCCCACATTGTTGTCCAGGAACTTGGAGTCAGCTTTGTCTAGTTCTAGTTGAGCCGGTTCAGACTGGATAGGACCATTGACCCTCCAACTGGGCCAACGCAAGTGTCCTTGCTGCTGTCAGAGGGCTGAGAGCTCCACCCTCAGACGCTGCTAAGCGCCTACTGATTTGAACATGCTGAGCCCTGGATCTTAGTTACACCTGCACAGAATGACCATCACAGGACCTTTCTCTAGTCCCCTTTCGCTACAATCCCCGTGCCTCAGACCGCCCTGCTCCTTTATTCTTTATCCCATAAATCCCCGAGCCCCCTGCCTTCAGGGAGGCAGATTTGAAACTTATTCTCCTGTCTCCGCTGCCTTGAGAATAAACCCGCTCTTTTGCTGCCAACCTGGTCCTCTCTGCATTTTGGTTTCTTGTGTGTTGGGCAAAACAAACCTGCTTCCATTACAAGCCCCTCCGTGAGCCTCCTGCCTCAAACAGTCCACTCTCATGTGCTCGTTCTTACCTGCTCTGTTTGCTACATCATACTTGGTATTACCTGAAATTGTATCATGTATTTGACTATCTGCTCAAGATCTCCCTACTGAAGAGTAACCCATGGCTTGAGGGACTTTGTCTCGTTTATGGTTGTATTTTCAGTGTCTGGAACAGTGCTTAGCAGTTGGAGACACACAAAACCTATTTGTTGAATGCTTGATTAAGTGACTGAATGAATGAGTTGCAAACATATTATGAAGTACCACATTTAAAATTAAACCTTAACTACTGGCTTCATTTTCAAATGTGTTTTTGTTTATTTGTTAGTTGAATATAATAGCATTTCTTTAAAAAGGAGATGTAATTCAGGTTTTTAATGGTCTAACCTTCCCTAATCTCCCTCCTTAGAATATTTCCTCCCAAGCCCTCTAAATTAGTGAGGTTTTGCAGTAATATGTGGAAAGAGGCTTTTGTTGTTCATTTGAGGCAGCAAATGGTTGATATTAATTATGATTTGATAATCAGTATGTTTTCCCGGTAAGAAAGGAAGTGACATAAAGAGCTGGTGTTTTGTTGTCTATTTTTAAAGGCTCTATGAGGGGGGAGGGTATAGCTCAGAGGTAGGGTGTGTGCTTAGCATGCACAAGGTCCGGGGTTCAATCCCCAGTACCTCTATTAAAAAAAAAAGGCTCTGTGCAAGCAGAAAACATTATCCACTTGTTTACAAAACTATTTCATAGGTGACTCCTGCAAGAGTCCTCTATAGTTAACTCCCAGTACAGTAGCCCAGAATTATCATCAAAATAGGTAGATGAAGAATGGCCCTCGGCTTAAAAAAAATAATTGAGAAACTATATTTCCAAAAGTATGGTCCAAAAAAGACTTCTCTTCCTTATGAAAAATTCAGAGCAAGAAGAAAAATGTTATTTTTGCAAGTGAAAGCGTGTATTTGGCCATAGACAAGCTCCCCCTGCCACCACCCAACCACCACCAAAGCTGAGGAGATTCTTAGTTGGAGAAAATTGACAACTTTGCCTCAAGGCTTAATTTTAGAGTTTTTACCAGCAGCAACAGCAGCTGTGTTTACTGACAGCCCCGAACAAATTCAAGATTAAGTGAAGGACTGGTGTTCTCAGACAATCACCAGCGCAATGAACATTCTCTTCCTGTGCGTGGAGCTCCAGGCCTCATGTCTTTACTTTTTAAAAAATTACCTCAGAAGTTGTTGCTTTTAAAGATAGAAGTTGGTATATCTGCTCCCTAAATAGAATGTTTGTGCCCCGAAGCTGTGGTTTTCACTTCAGCTGCACATTAGATGCACCTGGGAGCTTGAGAGGAAGACACCAACCTGGTGCTAGAACTCTACCCCAGGACGGCACCAAGTGGGCTCACAAGTCCCTCTTGTCACTGGGTTGGTGGCCACTTGCCAGGTGAGTCCAACCTGGGGCTGGTTCCAGGACCGCCACCCTCCGCCTGGGCCACCCTGTGCACCTGAGCACCATCCTGGCTGGGGCTCGGCTCCCAGGCCAAACTGTGAAGATAGTTAAGTTTGCCGTTACCCTCTCACCCGTCCTTCTGCACCTCTCGCCCCACTCCTGGAAACTTCCCCTCCAGACATGTTTCTCAAGTCCTCTTACCCTGCTCTGTGCCCACAGTTACGCTCTCCGGTTCCAAGACAGTTCTTTCTTGCTAAAAGAAAGCTCTCCCCCTTTCCAGTGTAGTATTATCCCTCTCCAGAAAACAAGTGAAAAAACAGAAGAGAAATGTGAAATGCTACAGAATGCGACTGGGGAGTTGGAGGTAAAACTAGGGAGAGGAGGGAAGTGGTCCTCGCTCCTGTCAGATCCCTTCTGGTAAGCAACAGTCTGCTCAGAAACACCCAGTTCTGCTCTGTGCCTCAGTTTCTTCATCTGTAAAGTGAGGATAACCCATAAAATTGTTGCAAGGATTAAGTATGTAAAGCATCTGAAAAGTGCTTGACACTCCATAAGCAGTCAGTGCACATTAGCAGTTACCACCATTATTGTGATTATTATTTCAAATTCTTGAATTTAAAAATGGATGAGGGAGAGTTCTATGTGGAGCAGGTAAATAAAACAGAGAAGGCATTCTGATTGATTTTCTTTTGCAGCTAACACTCTGACTGAATTTCAGGAAATAGTCTGAGCTTCCTCACTGGCACACATATGTGTCTAGCCTGTATCCCAAAACAATGTCTAACTTATGTCACCCATTTAGATGGATAAATTCCAAGATCTTTGGAAAATTTTTCCTTTTTTTTTTTTAACTGTATAATCAACCTTATACATCTAAGACTCTTGGGAAATGATGAAGATGAGAGTAAGCAACTGCGTAGCTGGAGAGAAACAAGTCCTTTTCTAATTGACTAGTTAATATATGAATTCCACAATGAATTCCACAAACATTTAATAATAAACTCTGTGCCAGACATAGGAAACAAACTATGGTTACCAGAGAGGGAAAGGGCTGGGGAGAAGGATAAATCAGGAGTTTGGGATTAACACATACACATTACTATGTATAAAATAGATAAACAACAAGGTCCTACTGTATAGCACAGGGAACTATATTGAATATCTTGAAGTAACCTATAATGGAATAGAATGTGAAAAAGAATATATATAAATGTATGACCGAATCACTTTGCTATACACCTGAAACTAACACAATATGGTCAATCAACTGTATTTCAATAAACAATTAAATAAATAGACTGTGCCAGATGTTGTGCCAGGAAGCAGGGGTCTGGGGGGAGAGGTGGATACCACAGGGAGGAGGCAGGGGCCGTGCCCTCATGTAGCCCACAGTCCAGTGAGTGTCTAGAAGGAGGTGTCATCCAATTTCAAGTCACAGACCAGAGCAATGAAGACATGCTTCTGTCCTGCTATCTTCAGTGTTGGAAGATGCCCATCCCACTTTGTTTCAAACCTTCCAGGTCAACCATAATATGAGGATATTATAAATAGGTTGAATTCATCTCTCCTCTCAAGGATCTTAACTTTTTCAAGAAGGCTGGTTGCTCAATCTATGCATTCTTTTGCAGGAAATCTTCTCGTAGCCTACCACAGAAAAGTAAGAATACTGCTTGCAAAGAACTGGGTGTAAAAGTGCCCAGGATGACCTAATTGCCTTCCCTCCTTGGAAGAAACATGAATGTTCATCCTCTGACACACCAGTCTTTTTATCTTCTTAGTGACTGATCTGAATGTGCTGAATGGCGAATTCAGGGAGTGTTTCTCTCTCCTGCTTTCTTTTTGAAGTTTCCTAGACAAGTCTTAAAAGGGTGTTTTTGTCTTACTTTGTTTTGAAGTTCGCTAAATTCTTAGAAACCTCTGGATGGCTTAAAAATATTTTTAGGTTATGCTAAAAGTAGAGTCTAATTTTATGCAAAAGAAGCTCTTAGAATTGCCTGAAAACCTAATTTTTGTGAATAGAGTAACTTTTGGACTGAACATTCCTAAGTTTCCTTTCAGTTTTAAAGAGCTCTAAGATCTATGTCATAATCTAAGAGATCTTCATTCAGTTTTGAGCTTTAACTCACAACGATCTTCCACACTTGACATTATTTTACTTCTTTCCTTGTAGCCTTTCTGTTCTGAGATAACAAACTTCTAACTCACCGGAGAGTGACTTAAGCTTAGTGTCTAATGTGGCATTGCTGTGACTTTTCTTTAAAAAGTCATTTTTATTTCTATCAAGTCTACTCTCTCATCTGTTTGTTCTATAAATTCTAATTTGCTGTAAGAAGGAACAGGGGGGTGGCATGTCTCAAAGATGGACTCCAGGAGACCATACTTGGGAATGCAGGCCCTGTATAGCCCATTTTTCATTGCCTGTGACCTGGCCTATGACTTGCAGTAACCAGCAGAGTGTGGGGGCAGTGATTTGGAGCTGTTCTGTGGTCTAGACTTTAGAGGATTGGCAGCTTCCCCTTCCTCCTCTGGAAGCATTTGCTTTTGGGGGACCTGGGCTGACATGAGAGCAGATTCATGCCCTGCAGGAGAAAGCACGTGGGGAATCCATGTGAAGAGGCTCTGGGATGGAGAGGGCGAGGTTCAGCCATCACAGTGTCCTGGTTGAGTCTCTTGATGACTCCAGTCTGACCTGCCATCTGACTTCAGCTACATGAAAGACTTAAAAAGAGACCAGCAGAAGAACCACCCAACCAAGCCCAGCAACCCACTGAAAAATGGGACCAGAATTGGCTGTATTTAAGCCCCTAAGTTTTGAGGCAGTTAGTTATGCAACGTAATTTACATTGTGTCTCACACCTTTAATCTTAGGGCTCCAAACGAAAAGAAAGGGAACTGGTGTCCTCCAAATACTTCATACACTAGCCTGAAGACTTCTTACAGGAGAGCAGGCTTTCAGTGCGCTCGGCATCTACGTTAGTGAATAGCATTATTATTCTCGATCAAAAAACTCATCAAAGAGTGGGATTCTCTCTGTCCTGGTCCTCACCAATGCTCGTGGTTTCTTCTCGGCTTTCCCCAACTCATCTGAGTCAGAGCTGGAACTGTCCCAGGGAAGCTGTCTCCGAGCCTCTTGTTCACGGAGCCAGGTTTCCATTTTGCCAATTTTCCGGGGACCATAGTCATTCCTTGATTGATGCTCCAAAAATTCTTCATTCTGTGAATTTCCTGCAAAGAATTAAAAGTTCATTTAATTTATTTTTCCCTGGCAATGATCAATTTTTTTAAATGCTTAGGTTTTTATGAACACAGAATAATTTGCTTGGTGTTATTTCAAATATATTTATACATACATACATATAAAGGATTCCAACTGGTGTCTCTGTAAGCTTTAAAATAATTTTTCTTGTTATTTAAAAAGTCTTTTTCTGATCTTCTGAAAGTTGCAAGGATGGTACAGTACATACCTGTGTACCCCAACCTATCAACAACATTTTGTCACAATTTTGCTTCACACACACACACACATACTTTTCAGCTGAATCATTTGAGAATTAGTTGCAGAGTCACTTCTCCCCAAAACACATCACCACAAATCTCTAAGAACAAGGGCAATTTTTCCTATGTAACCACAAGACAATTATTACACTTAGGATATTTAACATCGATACAATACTGTTTTCTAATATATGGCCCATATCAGATGTCCATGGTGATCCCAATAATGCCACTTTGTTTGCCTGTTTGTGTTTCATTTTTTAGATCCAGGACCCAAGTACGATCATGTGTTGCATTTTATTTTCTTGTCTTTTAGTGACCTTTAATTCATGAGCATTCCTTTTTGTCTTTCTTTTCTCTTTCCTTCCTCCCTTCCTCCCTCCCTCTCTCCCTTCCTTCTTTCCCCTCGTTCCTCCTCCTCCTCTCTCTCTCTTCCCCTCTCATCCTCCAGCTCAGATGGAGTCATCTGGAGATTCAGGACACTTTCATCCTCCTCCTCCACCTTCATTATCTTCTTTTTTTCCTGAGACTGACATTTTAAAGAATCCAGGCCAGTTGTTTGGCAGAGTGACCCTAAATTGGGACTCTGATTGTTTCTTTGTGATTAAATCCGTTAAACAATTTGGCAAGAATGTTGCACAAGTGGTGATGCCTAGTGCCATTTATTGAACATCTACTATGTTCTAGGCACACTGTGTACACTTTTCCTAACCCTCCCATCAGCTCTGACTTTTGTATCAGAATCACCTATGGAGCCTTCTAGAAACACAGATTCCTGGGTCGCACCCCAGACCTACAGAACTAGAGAGCTCAAAGGGTCAGGGGCTTTTTTTTAATGTTCTATTTTTGGGTAAGAGATTTAATGTATTTTTTGGTGTGGAGTTTTATGAGTGTATGTCTTTATTTCAGCTTTTTATTTAAGCAGTACCCAGAGCCCTCTTAGAATGCACTACAGAACAACATGGCTTTATTCCAGGAAGGTGGCCTCAAGAAAACAAAATCTTAACGATCACTTCCAAGCTTGGAAAATCATCCTGGATGAAAAATCCAGGTTTATCCCCCAGTCTGACGGAATCAATCAATCACAACTTTCTGAATGTTGTCTTAGCAACAATTGTTGATCAAATCTTATGGCATATTTTATTTAAGCCCATGACATCTGAAGTTGTATATTGATATAAAAGAAAAATCAAGCATTTCATTATGAGGATTCATGCCTTGGGATTCAAGAGATTCCTTTCAGCCTCCCTGAAGGGCAACCTTGTTCTCCCTTTGAATATCACTGTAGGTACTAGATTGTCTATTTACATAGTGCTGAAAGTGAATGATAGTGCATTTATGCCCTCAGCCCTAATCTGTCTACTGAGCTTTGATACACTCTTTTATACAACTGGACACCTCCTCTTTGATGTCTCCTGGCAATATGTCAGCTGCACTATCTCTTTCTGTCACAAACCTGCCTCTTCTCCCAGTTACCCTAGTCCTGCAAATGGTCCTTCCTTTGCCCCATCGTTTGTCTAGTTCTTCAGGAGAACCCATGAATCCTCTTGGCCTTCTCATTGTCTCCACACACCTACATCTAATTTATCACCAGATTCTGCCAATTCTCTCTCCTAAATATCTTGTGTCTGGCTCCTCTCCCTCCCCATTGTCACCCTTCTCCCCTGGTCCAGACACCAGCTCTCACTCGCACTGCTGCTACATACTAACAGCCTGTCTCCCCACATTCTCTTGTGTCCCTTTTCCATCCATCCTCTGCAGTGCAAACAGAGTGATATTTAAAATACAAACCTGATAGTTCACTCCTCTGCCCTTTCAAAGGCTTCCCATTGACTTTAAGATGGAGTTCAAAGTCCTTATAGGACATGATTTATAAGACCCTGAGTGCACTGGGCCCTGACTATGTCTCCACAGTTATCTCAGGTCACTTCTGTCTGCATCTGTCTTCTCCATCCAGTGTCTAGCATCCGTCAGGCTCCCTCCCACTCGAAGGCTTTTGCACCTGCTGTTATTAATCACAGTTTTGAATGTCCCAGCACCCTGGTCCTTACACTCATGTGCTCACCTGCCCCCTTCCTTCAGCTGCTTCCTGTCTCAGCTTAAATATCACTTCTTCCCAGAAACCTTCCATCTCCTCAGATCATTAGATCTCCCAGTTAGATTCTCACTGGACTTTCCTTTGTTTGTTCTCTGTACTGTTGTGTAAGTACCACATCTACCCAGTTGAGTAAGTATCTGTTGAATGAGTAAATGAATAAGTGAATGAACCAATGAGCCGTCAGAGAATTTTGAAAGGCAGGAAGTATTGGTAATTGGGACCTGGGAAAGGCTTCATTCATTGGGGCCAGGGGGTGTCAGTTATCTCTGCTCTACAAATGAGCCCAGAGCTACTAAAAACACCGCTCAGACTGGGAACAGGGATTTTCTGCCGACTAGAGGCAGGAGCTTTGAAACAGGAAAAGAATGTTTGTTAATGGTGGGGTCTAACATAATATTAACAATAGTATGAGTCTCGCAATACTCTTGGTGTTATGATAATTCTGATCAACAGTTAGTGGGTGAAACAAAAGTCACATGTTCAGTTTTATCCTTGAAAATCCCTTAAGCCACTCATAAAACATTATATACAAAGTTTTATATACAAAACATTAAAGTTTGAGAACTTCCGAGCTAGATATCTTATTACTTGTTACATTTGGATAAATCTACATTTGATTCTTTATGGTTGCTAGCTTTAAAAAAAAAAAGAAAAGAAAAATATAACCTTTAAAACCTAAATGGTTTTTGGGTGAGCAAAGTAGAGGAAAGTGTATTCAAAATTAATTTGGGGAGAGAGGGAGGAAACAGAGGCCTATTGGGGAAAACAGGAAGTGACTGTAGGATCATACAAAGCATTAAAAAGATTTGATGGTTTTGTATTTTATAACATGTGTTTTTAAAAAATGTATTACCACTATATCAAACCCATAATTTCACAGTTAATTCACAGACAAGACTAAATTTTAAAAATAAAACAAGATACCTTAAAGGAAAATACTAAGTAAGTAATAGTATAAGTGACCAGAATTCTGAACGTGACATTCAAATGATGTATGTAGAGTGACACCTCCCCTGAAACAGTTATTTTCACTATCAGACATCAGTTCCATCTTTCTTCAGTTTGGTCCATAGTCATATGGCACTTTACATTTTATATATACTTTCACACATTATTTAAATTTTACACAAACTCTACATAATGGACATAATGCTTTATTCCCATTTTACAGATATGGAAACAGATTCATGGAGGTTAGACGACTGAGAGTTAGCTATGATCTTTCTCTGTGTAGAATAAATCTATATGGACAAATAGAGCTAATACTTATTGAGAGGCTACTGTGTACCTCCTATCTACAGTAGGAACAAGAAAAGATTCTAGCTCCCATGGAACTTAAATTTAGTAAATGTACTGTCAGGGCTCAAATAAAGGACTTTGATTTTAAGTCCAGTGCTTTTCTCCTCACTAGACTCATATCATGGCTTCTAGAAAGGGTAGGGGCCACGTAAACATGTTAAAGCTCATAGAGTTGTATGCCTAGAAGAGTGATGTTCCCTTTGTGTAAGTTGTACATCATTATATATGACACAGATATGTGCAATTTATTATATAAGTATATGTAGAATATACTTAAAGCATGTGTGATTTCTCATTTTAAGGAGGCAGCAGAAAACAAAGACTGATTTTTTACCTCACAAAAGACCTGAAACTCTTTACCTTCCAAAAGAGGGAACAAGAATATAGCCTTGACAATACATAGGACAAATATAGCTTTAAATAAAAGGAGCTGGGTACAGAGGAAACTTAATTACTAAAACTTCACTAGCAGAACGCTCAGGGAAGTCTGTGATCTTGGCTATGCTCCACTTTGAGGAGAAAGCAAAGTGAACTGCTTTTAGAAGGCAGAGAAAGAAATCAAAGATCCTACTTGGAGATAAGTCACAAGGAATTTTTCGAGTACATGCCTACAGAGTGGTGAGGTCTGTAGGCTTTGCGAAAGGAAGCCTTCTCTTGAGAGAGAAATTGGAAGGGTCACCACCTCTACATTTATAGACTTTCCCAAGGTTGTCCTGACAGAACTCTGGGCCCCTGGCTCCTGATGAGGCTCTACAAGGGGGTGGGTGGGAGTGCACATGTGGGAGTCACAAAGACCCGGCCTTGAATCCTTACTATGTCACATGGGGGCTAATAGTAACTCCTACCTTATAGGCTTTGTGAGGCTTAAATGTGATAATTCATGTTAAGGGTGAAGCACAGTACTTGGCTTAGAGTAAGCATTTGATAAACCTTAGCTGGAACAAAATGAAGCAGCTTTAATTTTTTAAATTTTGTTTTATTTTATTTAAAAAAATTTTTTGAGGGAGGGAGGTAATTAAGTTTGTTTGCTTGTTTATTAAAGGAGGTACTGGGGATTGAACCCAGGACCCCGTGTATGCTAAGCACACAGTCTACCGCTGAGCTATACCCTCCCCTCAAAGCAGCTGTTAAAAGTATCAGGAGAGCAGAGGAAAACCCCTTCTCCACGTGCCACAGCCTCCCCTGGTCCCTCCAGACCATCTTCCAGAGGCTTCACCAATGCTGGCTTTTTCGGCCTAATCTCAAGCAATGACCCTTAGGTACCTAACTTCAGCTAAGGCTCTCATTATTTTGCCCATATTTTTTACATGGCAAACACGGTTTATCTATGTGACTACACAGCGTATCTCATTCTGGAACTTGGGAGTGTGGGTTCAATAGATGCCCCAAGTAGATTTTCCATTCTTCAGCTTTTTCTTATTTAATTAACTCATTGATTAAGCATCTTGCTCCTTGAGCAGGCGCAGTGTCTCAGCTGGCGACTTGGCCTCTTAGAAGCTCAAGACCTCCAGAGACACGGCCAGTATTTCTGTAGATTCACCAGTGGTCGGTCTCACTGGCGGGGGACTTGGCCCGCAGCACAGCAAGCTGTGTGTGTGAGCAGTATCAGACATTTGCTAGCGGTGGGTTTGCTCTCAGGGGACACAGACAGGGAAAACTTAATGAGACTCTAATTGGTGGGGCAGCACAGCTCAGAGTTTATGAAAGCAAATGTCTGTTAGAAATCACAGAGCAGTCTGAGGCCACTGGGCAACCTGGCCTGGCTGAAGGGTTAGAGCATCGGGGTTAGGAGTTTAGACTCTGTCCTCAGGCTGATGGAGACTCACTGAAGGATTTTTTTTTTTTTAAGCAGGAGAGTGATATGGTCACATCTACATTTCATAAGATTATTCTAGTGTAATTGCAGTGCTTCTAGACCTGTATTGTGCTTGAGAATCGCCTTAGGATTTTGATAAATGTAGATCCTGATGTAGGAAGTCTGGGGTGGGGCCTGAAATTCTGTCTTTCTGACAAACCCCTAGAGATGCTGCTGGTCTGTGGACAACACCTGAATGACCAAGTGGAGCAGTGGTTCTTAAAGTTTCAGGGCATGAGAACCACGGGGGCGAGGGGCTGTTAAACTTGGATGGCTGGGCACCCCCTGCAATCACTCCAGCTGGAGCCCTGGCTAGTTCCCACGTAAGGCTGGTGCTGGTGGTCTGGGGCTCGCACTGAGGACCAACGAGGTGGACGGCTGATGGACAGAGGGTAGGACCTGAGGGAGGAGTGCAGTCAGGAGGCTGCAGCAATAGCCCTAGTGTGAATCACGACCTAAGGGTGGCACAGGAACGGGGAGAGAGGGGAGGTTTCAGTACCAGGCAACCATCATAACTGTGGCTGACTCTCTGCGAGGAGAGGGAGCAGAAGGGCTGCAAAGGCGCTGTCTCTGGCCTGAGTGACAACAGCGCTTGGAGGCCACGCCCACTGAGACAGCGGGAGGCAGCATGAACAAGCCTGGAGAGGGCAGTGATGCTGAATTCAGTTTTAGACGTTCTCTAAAAGGGAAAGGGTGGGTGGGGAGAGAGAGTGTCTGCACACAGCACCAACCTGGCTGATACCAATTTGCTGTTTACTATATCTCCCCACGTTTCATTCTCTTTACCCACGAGATGAGGCTCTTTTGCCTTCTCTCCTCCGAGGGATGGTGCACGGATTGCAGTCGTGCATGTACAGTACAGTGTTTTTCTAAAAAGAGACACCTCACCACAGCGCTTAAGCTGCTGCCTTTTCCTCCCGGCCATCCAAAGTTACATGACAACGTGCCCATTATACCCCAGGGAGCAGAAAAGCAGCGGGAACCCAAGGATACCTATTTGTTGTTCTTCCCTACTCCACCTCAGAAGTTTATTTGATAAAATTTTAAAAACACTTGAAATATATTTTTTTAACTAATAATATTACATGACTCACCTGGACTTCTGTTCAAGGTTTCATCAGGCAACAAGGTGAAAAAGTCGCCGCCGTCATTTCTTGGGATGCTTTGAAGGATTTTCTTGGCTTTATGGTCCCTCTGTTTTTGCTTATTAGTTCTTACCTCCCTGTGAAGGCTTTTCTTCAACTCCTGGGCCTGAAATTGATCCACTATAATCAGTTAGTGTCCTCCCCTAGAGCAGAACAGGTCAACAGATCAGCCACTTTGCAAACTGTGTGCTTATCTGTAGACATCTGTGTTCCCTTCAACAGAACACAGTTCTGTGTTCCTCTTAGAAGGTGTGGACACTTTCTTCATGTGCAGGTTTGTTAGGAGAAAGGGGAGCGTGCCTACAGTCTCAAAGAGGTGAGGACCTTTTTAAGAAACATATCTCCATTGGCTAGCTGATATATTCAGGGTTGCAGAAGACAGTGACCTCAGGCTCATTCACTAAGGTGAGGAATTTGGAATATGACATTTACAGGAGACGTTACTGTAAAAGGGTTTGTTCTCAGAGATTTTTCTGTAAGATGATTCTGTGGCATAAATTGTAGAGAGATGCCTCGTTATCAAAATAAAGATCAACTCACCCCCACCTCCTTTTTACTAAAACAAAAAAATTAACCCCATTTTCCTGCTAAAGCCAGAATGTCATAGAAGCAACACTTTTAAAAGAGGGGACTTGAGACATAGATACATCCTTGAGCTGACTGAACACATATAAAAGACTCAGCAGGGTTGGTAGCAGAAGGGATCTTGCTGTCTCTTCTCAGCTCCAGCAGTAGAACCTTTGGCTCCAATGACTAAATTGAAAACGCTGGGTAAAGACTGGAGATGGATGCTGAACTATACTAGGTACCAGGGCAGTGATTATACAGAGTAAATTTGGTAAATATGACACTCTTCTCCTTGTATTTACCTCTTGTCTTTTACGGTTCATTTCCAGCATCTGCATCTTATGTAAATATTGCCTTTTCCCAGAAGGATGCATTGGCATTTGCATCTTCTTTTCCAGTTCCTGCTATGAAAGATGACACACTCATTAGCATGGGGTAATTATTTACTGACTCTGCAATCCACAATTTGAAATCCGTTTTGGAACAGAGGGAGATCTTAATCAATCATCAGTCAAAATCCATAGAGATCTCTTGTGCTGTCAAAGGTGACAATTGCAGCTCCCTGACGAGTCCTTAGTGCAGCTTAGTCAGTGAATGAAGTCACAATTTGCTATGTGTATAGTGTAGTTTTTAAGGTTCCTATAGAGTTTTGCAAACCTTGAATGGAAATATCTTCCCATATCTCACTTTGACAAGATAACACTTCCTATCAACAGATGCTTTTGCTGTCATCCTAGAGTTGTGTTCTGGTTAAATGAGACCTGCTTCTCTCTCCCTGCCTCTTCTGCCACTGAATAATTACCTGGCTATGAAATTAGAGGGGAGCCACTGCTTGGGTAAATGGAACCTATTTCTGTAGGGTGTACCCCCATATTCCAGTATAAGCGCTGGTACACTGAAGTTTAGGAAGGATCTAAAACTGATTATTTGTGACTTGGGTGACCTCCCCCAGTGCATCATAAATTCCAGAGGCACAGTGTGGACAGTTATTGAGGGCAGCTGGGGTGAATATACCCTCATTCGTCACTTGCTATGGTCATGAAAGGGAAGGGACGTGGTAGCCAAATGGTCCGGTGATACTTCTCATGTTGCCCTGTGGACAGTGATCGTGTTGGCTGATGTGAGCCTCAGGGAGGGGTCCATCTCCGAGGTTGCTGTCAGTATCACAAACATGGCCTTGAGGATCTAAAAATACCTGGACATCTTTTATCAAATCAGCCAGCCACATGGCAGCATCTAGATGACTCCAAAATGAAATCAGGAGAGGAAAGTGTTGAAAATCTACTCCTACCTCACAGTCCTTATTTCCACGTGAGGGGAGTTTTCTCAGCAGAGTGTGGCAAGTGTATAAAAGGAAACAGCTCTACAGAAGACCCTTTCCAGGGTTACTTTCTGGTGAGGTTGTGGTCTATAAGCCAGGACTCACTCATAGATAGGATTTCCCCTGGAAGCTGAGAACAAAGAGCAAGTTTTAAACCGAGAGGAAGAATGAAAGGGGAGAGTTATGCTGGATTTTTCACAAAAATCAATTCTAGAATCACCAGTATCCAAACAAAATTCTTCTCTCTCATCTACATCTCCCTGTTTGCACCAGGCAGCAGAGAAGGGCTCAGAGTTCATCAGAGAGGCAAGAGTAATTGCTAGTTGGTGGTAGGCCCAGGAGAGAATGGATAGCTTTGGAAAGTTCCAGCTCTGAATGACTTAACAGCTAGCTTTGCCTTTGAAGTCTTCTGTGCAGGGAGTGTGGGGAAAGCAAGGCCCGCCCCCCAGTTCCTTGCCCCCTCCGGGTTCTGCTGCTGCTCACCTTTGCTCTGTGACTCCTCCCGGCTTCTTGCTGGCTCAGGAGCCTTTCAGAAGTAATTACTTGTGGCAGGTCAATGGGTTCAAGCTTCTAGAAGTCCAACATTTAGAGCACTCAGCATTCCTCATGCCATGAGATGATGAGACATAAAAGCCAGACATTAAACTATCTTAACACCCTGTATGTGTCCTCGAGAGCACACATGGGAGGCGATTCCCACACGATTACCATCATGTCTGTGCAAAAGGCTCTTCAGCCCATCTGGGTTCTTTAGTGTCTGTTGCACTCCTGCCAGTGACTCATTGATCCAAATGTTGGTCGGAGAGTCAGAGGACTAAGAATCCTTTTCTGTCTGCACTGAGGGACCACATCCATGGTTACCAAACAGGGGTCTTCGAATTTTAGAGACAAAAGAGGCACTGGGAAGTTACGTTACTTTATTCATCCCTTAACTACCCAGGTAAACTGTTCTGGTCCTTAGGAAAGTGACCTGTTTTTAAGATCTCCAGAGAAGCTGCCTCAGCCTCCTCAGTGATAATTCCTGGTGCTTATGAGGCTCATTGAAAATGAAAGTGCAATGTGCTAACGAGCCTTAGACGTGGATTTCTCCAGCAGAGGCTTGGCTTTATGGGGGAGGTGGTACTAGAGTTTCACGAGGTCACTAAGACTAGGCAGCAGCTGATGAACTAGTAGATCTGCCTCCGGCCCCACTTGTCTCAGACGACTCAATGCTGGAGCGCTGGGAAGTGGCTGTGGAGGCTTGGGACACCAAGGCTGGTCTCTTCGCGTTGACATGCAGTCAGGGACCTAGAGGGTCACAGAGTTTGTCTGTTCGCTAAGTACTTTTTGAACGACTGCTACTTGCCAGGCATTGGGGTACAGTGGTTCATAAAAATGGGCATGGTCTCTCATGGAGATTACGATCTATGGGGAAACATACACTTTTGCTTGTGTGATTATTTGATTAATTACAAACTGTGTGATCAGTACTTTGGAAAAAAATCTACCAGGCCGGGACCATGATAATATATAACTAGAGGGCTCCATATTGGAAATGGGGGTGTTATGAGTTAAACAGTGTTCCTCTCAAATGCGTATGTTGTAGTTCTAACCTCCCACCCCCATCCCACACCCCTTGCCGGCCACCCAGTACCTCTTAGTGTGACCCTTTTGGGAAAGAGAGATCTGGCAGATATAATTAGTTAAGATGAGGTCATACTAGAATACAGTGGGCTCTCAGTCCAATATGTCTGGTGTCTTCACAAAAAGGGGAAATCTGGATTAGACACGCACACAGGGAGAACCCCAAGTGAAGATGAAGACAGAAACTGGGGTGCTGCTTTCATGAGCCCAGGAATGCCAGGTGGTCAACAAGCCACCAAAAGCTGGGACAGAAGTGTGGAACAGATTCTTCCACATGGCCCTTAGAAGGAACCAACCCTGCTAACACCTTAATTTTGGACTTTAACTTCTAGAACTGTGAGACAATACATTTCTATTGTTTTAAGTCACACAATTTGTTATACTCTATTATTGCAGCCCTAGAAAATGAACTCAGGGGAGAGAGGGGCTGAGGAGGTAGTCCAAGAAAGTTTCCTGAGGGAGTAATTTTTCAGCAGAAGTTAGAAGGTTGGGACTTTTTAGGGGACTGAGGTGTTCCAGGCAGTGGGAACAATGTGAACAATAGCCCTGAGGCAGGAGAGAGCATGATCTTTTGAAGCAAGTGCAAGAAGTCAGTTGGCTGCAGTTGAGAGTGAGAGGAAGAGTGGCTCAGGCGGGACTGGGCAGGTAGACAGGGGCCGATCCACGCACGGCTGGACGGGGCATTCCTAAGACATTGCCTTCTTAAATGCTGCGGGCGGCCATTGACATGTGTTAAGCAAAGTAGTGACACGATTACATTTGCTTCTAAAAAATGGTCACTCTAGCTGCCTAGGAACTAGACTAAGGAAGAGCAATTACGGATGTGGGTGAGCAGTTAGGAGGACAAAGGTAATGGGCTGGAGGCTCATTGGGGGAAATGGATGGGCATTATAAATATTTAAAACTGACCAAGCAAGATTCGTGATGGTTACTGAAGGAGAATGAAGTGCCCAAATGACATCCAGACACAAGGGATGGATAGCACTGTCATTCGCTGAGATGAGGAATCCCACAAGAGGGCCAAGTTTGAGTGGAACAGAGAGAAGTCTGTGCTGGAGATGCACATTCGGGAACCATCCCTGGGGAGAGAATGACTGAAACCGTAGAATAAGTGAGGTCAGGAGTGAGAAGAGCAGAGCCAAGGACAGTAGACTTGAGGAGCTCCAGCACCGGGAGGCTGGTGGATGGAGATGAGCTGGCCAGGGAGACTGAGAAGCTATGGCTTGAGAAGCAGGAGGAGAACTAGGAGGATATGATGTAGCAGCAAACAGTGCGAGCACTGCTCCCACCTTAGTCTGATACTAGAGGCAAATCCTAATATATTTGGAAATTATTGTTCATTGTAGTCTGATTTGTTGCATTGGCTAGGGATAGGCCTGGCAGTCAGCTTGGCTTTCAAGGTGACCAGGGTGAAAAGAGAGGGAGAGACCATGGAAAATGGATGCTGAGGGTCCAGCATTCATAATGGGAAGCACGAATGGTGCCTCGTGCTCTGTGCAGAACAATTTCCTGGGTGGGGCCTGACTGCTGGAGGGAGAACAGCTAGCAGTCCTTTCTGGCTGAGCAGCCACAGGTTGACTGGGCAAGGAAGCGAGAAGCGCCAAGGATGCGGAGGCAGGAGGAGAGACGAAGGGGGAAGAAGTCATCTTTATGTTACATATATGCCAGGTCATTTACACTTTTGGAAGGACATGGTTCTCACCTGAGGCTTGGAAGTGGGTTTTGTTTTTTTTTTTTTAAAAACAAAATAGCCAAGAGGTACTGAGAGGTAATCAGTACTAGTTAGAAAGAGGATTATTGTTGTCCTGGCTCTCAACTCTGCAGAGCACGAAGATGCAGGGCACATGAGACCTGCTGGCACAGGAAGCAGCCACTGATCAAGTCAGCACCCTGAAGGAACGGAGAAGAGAAGGTAGGGGGAGAGATCTCCAGGGAGGGAGACTCAGTAATGACCGAGGTGGGGTTTCGAGGTTAAGGAGAGAACAAGGAAGTGTTTGTGCCATTCCCTGGACTTGGTTCAAGATTCGGTTCTCCCTGGTGATTGAGCCCATATGCCTTTGCAGACACTGCCGCCCATCATGTCATGCTGACAATGTGTCATTCAATCCTCACGTGAACCCTGTGGATAATTATGATGATTCTCCATTTCAGAAAGGTTAATGGCTTGTGCAAGTCTGCATAATTAGAAAGGGCCAACTCCAGGATTCAAACTCAGGTCTGCCCAATTCCAAATCCCATGTGCCTTTCTCCATACTTGTTTCTAAACTTGGTTTATCATCAGAATCTCCTGGAATTGAAAAAACAAAACAAAACAAAACTTCCTGGGCTATTCACTGGGGATTGAGATTCAACAGGTCTGGGACATGTCCTGGGAGGACGGAATATATATATTTATATTTATATGTATTTACATGTATTTATATTTAATTAATAAAATTTATATTTTAGAGAGATTTAGGTTCACAGCAAAACTGAGTAGAAAGTATAGAGTTCCCATATACCCCCAACACACAACCTCCCCACTATCAATATCCCTCACCAGCGTGCTACATTTGTCACAGTCAATGAGCCTACATTGACACCTCGTTATCACCCAAAGTCCACAGCTTACATTAGGGCTCACGCTTGGTGTTGTACATTCTCCGAATTTGGACAAATGTATAATGACATGTATTCACCATTATAATATCATACAGGGAGGAGTTTACCTCTCCCCCAAATTCTCTGTGCTCTGCCTGTTCATCCCTCTCTCCCTCCAACCCCTGGCAACCACTAATATTTTTATCAACTCCACAGCTTTACATTTTCCATAATGTCATATAGTTGGAATCATATAGGGTATGTAGTCTTTTCAGATTGGTTTCTTTCACCTAGCAATATCTGTTTAATTTTCCTCCATGTCTTTTCATGGCTTGATAGTTGGTTTCTTTTTGATGCTGAATAATACTCCATTGTCTGGATGTATCACAGTTTATTTACCCATTCACCTATTGAAGGACATATTAGTTGCTTCCAAGTTTTGACATTATGATTAAAGCTGCTATAAACATCTGTGCGTAGGTTTTTGCATAGATGTGAGTTTTCAATTCATTTGAAAAGTATTGGCTGCTAGATTGTACGGTAAGAGTATGTTTAGTTTTCTAAGAAACTGCACCCTGTCTTCTACCACTTTGCATTCCTACCAGCAATATATGAGGGTTTTTGATGCTTTGTACCCTGGTCAGCATTTGGTGTTGTCAGTGTTCTGGACTTTGGCCATTCTAATAGGTGGGTAGTAGTATTTCATTGTTGTTTTAATTTTCTATATCCTAGTGACATAAGATGTTGAATGTCTCTTTGTTTGCTTGGTTGCCATCTGTATATCTTCCTATCATCTCATTTTGTTGACATTGTCTTTCACAGAATAGAAGTTCTTAATTTTAATGAAGTTCAGCTTATCAGTTGTTTCTTTGGCATATATATTTTTCAAAACTCTCCAGAAGGTTCTGAAGATTTCCTACGGTAGGTTCCACTGGCCTCCATACTGCCTTGACTCCAAAAAGGAATTACATCAAAATAAATCATGGAGGATTTGCTTGTGGAGCATTATTGAAAAGCTGAGTCTGAAAAAGCCAGCTATTTAAATACTCTCAGCTATTTAAGTTAGGCTATCCATAAATTCTAGGGCCAGGTTTTTCTTTGAAAGCATGAATATATATTATTCTATTTTCAGCCTCATTTTATTTGGATTCACAGTTCTGATGAGGGTTAAGGAGTAGGTATCTTTAAGTACTCTCTCCAAGCAATTACTTTCTTCCTGGCCTTTGAAAAGAATCTAAAGAACACTATTCTTCCACAAAGGGCACTAGATGGCAGCAACTAACATTGCAAAAAGAATCCCTCTGTTACATCATTTGTATTTGGCCTGAGAAGCACTGCAGAAAAGAAGTGTTGGAAAATTGGCTTCT